ACCTCTATGACCATCCAAAGGCCAGAAACGGAGATCTTCGCTCCACAATGTCACTTGCGGCATCCCAACCGTAGCCCCAGAAGGAGGTCAGCGTAGCCAATGCTTGCTCAGTCAAACGTACTAACCCGCGGGAGATCACCTAGGGTGGGCAGATAACGTAGTAGAGCACGATTTCCCCTGTCAAGAGATATGGTCCCTGACAGGAGAATAAGAACAAAGATGCGGACTCGCTGCTCCGGCGTAGTCGCATCGTCACCAAAAGCCTGAACTAGCAACCAAGTATGAATCGACCTCATACTCGAGTTCTTCTCCCTGGCGTCTGCGGCAGCCCTATGTACGATAGGACCTAGAAGAGCTGCAGCCCCTAGAGAAGTCAACGACAATGGATCCTCCATAGGAATTCGAGTCGGATGGAACTCGAGCCCACTGATGATAGAAAAGTCGAGTAGCGTGATAGTCATCTTAACCCACGAAAAATGGAAGGTGTTCGTGGTATCCTAAAAGAACTCTAGGGCCCCACGAACAATGAAACGACTCTCTCCGAAGGTTTGGAAAGCCTCACCTACTCGTAGAAGGGGAGTCAACCCACATGACTCCTAAAGGACTCTCACCACCTCTACCCTAGCGATGTGGTGGCGGTACAGAGACGAGATGGTGTCGTTTCCCGAACCATGGCAACGCACGTGCTCCTTAGTGAAACCCAGCAAAACCCGCTGGAAGATGTGATGAACCGGCTGAAAAGCCAGGGTGTGCTCATCCCAAGTAGGGAGTGACCACGCTCGGCTGGTAGAGGCGCTTCCCTCGTCGCCTTCCCCCTCTCGAACTGGCTCGTCCTCTCAGTGAGAAGAGCGGGAACGTTAACCAGGTCCTCGAAATCGTGCCATGCTATTTATTGTTGGTATAAAAACAGTAAATTAAATGTTCTTAGTATCTAAATTTTTCCTAGCCGCATGATACGGTGTTCGTCAAAAACAGAGCACAAAAATGCAAAAACAGAGCATGATTTTGATTCACACAACAACAAAGATTTTGAATATCAAAACAATTTCTTGCAAGTCTATGACACTTATTGCAACAAATTAAACACAAAGTGCAAGAAAAATCATCAAGAACAAGCTACATTATACTCACGAACCTAGAGTGTTCAACAATGGCAGAATGCTTGAACATATATAAGCAAATTCATGGCAAAAATTTCGACGCGAGAAACAGAGAACCCATTTCAGATTTTCCGGAAAAACGCGAGAAACATGCTCAAAATTCATCCAAAATGAGAAGAGATTGAGCAAAACTTACATAGATCGGTGTAGTTAAGTGAAAATGCAACGATTTGACGCAATTTTGAGTTGATTTGTTTGAGAAATGACCAAGAACGAGCAATTTGAAGTTGTAGAAATACGAATGACGAAAATAAACAGCCGAGAAAATGAGGAAGATTTCCCAAATCATAGCGGCACGACAAGTCCATCACGGCGCGATGGGTCTGTCGCGACGCGATAGACCTGCCGCCGTGCGATGGTTCTGATTCCGCCTGCGTCGGCATCTTAAGGGTTCCATAACTTGATTTGTAGGCCCTTGATTATCCATTCAAGCCTCTTAATGAGAATTTGATTCCTTTGAGCCTCGTGATGAACGATTAATGAGAAAATGATTTGATTAGTAGTCAGCTCGATTACAATTTGATTGATGATCAGCCTGATGACGATCACCTTATTGATTGATTGAGAACATTTTAGTATTGATTGAGAATATGAAAGGAATGTTGTCCTTCGAACAAGTGTATTATTCCGATAGAGGGTATGGAACTAATTAGGAAAGCTAATTATTCATTGAGGTCAAGTGATCGGAATGCCTAGCTGGAGGCTGTTTCTGATCAGTAGTATTAATGTATAATTAATATTACAGCTTGCTCTTGACTGAACCCTTCGGGTCACACCCAATCGTGTAACCGAACCAAGGCGAAGAATTATTTCGGAGGATTAAATAAGTCAATAGAGATTAAACGAACTAAGACGTCGGATTCCGAGCTTAGAGAGTTGAAGTCGAGCGTCGAACATCGAGTCGTTTCAAGGAATCGACGAGACGAGAAATTAAGTTAAATTATCGGACCTAGCCTCGAATTGGCTTAGCCAACCGAGGAAAAGGCCATATTGTGGACTAGCTATGGACTATCCTGGGCAGCAGGCCCATCAGCCCCGCATGTGCGTTGGTCGAGCTAGCTAGCAAGTAGCAAGGCCATGCAAGCGTTGCTGTGCTGGCCGAGCTAGCAACGCTAGCATCAGCCCGCAAGCATGCGAGCAAGCCTATGCTCACGTGGGCTTGCGGCATGCTAGTAGGCCTAACCGAGGGAAAGTCGCCAGCTATGCGAGCCTTGAGGCCCAAGGCATGTGGCCGGTCATCCCTTGGTTGACCATGTGAGTTGGCTTTTGCTTGCTCTCCAAGGGAAGGGGTTTTGGTCCTTACCTAACCCCTCCCATGCATTGCCACTTGTCATTTGCTTATTACTTATGCGATTTAATTTTATTTAGAATTAAATTAATACATTCATTTTCACATTTCACCAACTCTCCCACATGAAAAGTTGATGGAAACTCTTGGGAGCATTTCCCTATAAATACCTACCTTGGGTAATGGGATTACTTACTTGAGTAGAATTCAAAAGGAATCTTCCAAAGAGTGAGAAAGCCTTAAGTTCGTAAAACTCTAGTAATTTTGGTCTTGCCTTGTTTAAGTTACGGGGTAGGGGCCGATTTGGTGATCGAGGGTGTGAGAAACGTTGGAGGTCTTGCATTTGCGAGTCTCGTGGATTTCCAAGTCCGAGCTCGAGATACGAGTGAAGCACGCATTAAGAATGAGTTAATCTTGTCCTTACTTTCTTTCTCTTCTCTTTATGTATTCATGCTTTCCTTAATTGCATGATATTTTGTTATGTTGTAATTATTATGCATGCGATCCATTTTGTGGGTTTTGTTTCCACAAGTGTCGGACACCGCAAAACCTAACAACGGTATAAGAGCCTCTTGCGTTTAATTTTTACAACTAAAAATTAATTAAGGTGATTTAAAATGGATTTTAAATTTCTGGATTAGCAACCTAATTAGATTAGGTCCTCGATTTTAATTGGATTAAAATCGTATTATTGCTAATTTATGACTACGAACCCAGATTTCGACTCAAAAATAGTGAATTTTGGGTGGAATCGATGTTCTTAATCAACCTTTACCCACAAAGTTTTAAAAAATGGCTTTAGAGGCCAACATCTACCCAGAAAGTGGTTTTTCGAGGGGTTTTTTGTTTGAATCAAAATTTTAAATCTTTAAAACTTGATTAATTATGCATGCAATTGTTGGATTATGTTTTTGATTATATCATTAATCTTCTTCAATTTTACTCCTTATTAAGCTTGTTTATAATGTAAATTGTTTGCTTAATTTGGGTAGCTCTGAATTTCACATAAACTTGGAATTTCTCATTCTTGCAAATAAATTGCTTGGAGTGTAAAAGTTTATGGTGAATATGATTTTTGAAGCCCTAGAAGAGTCAAAGATTCAATCTTTAATGGTTTAAATGGTTGAATCTTAACTTGCTAAAATCCATAATGAACAAATTTTTAATCATTTTGGAAGTTGATTAAAATCTTAAATGTTCATACTTGTGCTGTAATGTTTTTCTTAATTTATGCAAGAACTGTATTGTTTTTATTTTCTTTGGGAAGGGAATTTTTTTCTAAGCCTTTTCCTTTACAGGATGCTGATTCTTCCTAACAAACATTCCCAAATTGATACTCTAGTTAAGAAAAACAATGAACATCCGTTTGATTATGTCAAGAAAAATCAATTTTATTGTTCTCAAATGAGCGATGTCTTAGGAGACAAGCATTATGATCTTCTTGATCGTGTTTCTGCTATGATTATTCACTGTCTTCCATATGAACCCCCATATCTTTCTGTTAAATCAAAATTTTCTGATTTCTATTTACTAGGGGACATCCCAATCTACTCTAACTACAAAAATTTCTATGGACAGTGGTACCCTGAATACATATACTTGATTTCTTACCTCGTTAGAGTTGAGAAAGATCATTGCCAACACTTACACATTCCATATAATAATTCGGCAAGGACTAATCCCCCTTCCAGTAGTCATCAATCAGGAAATTATTCTCCCACTCAGGGTAATCAAGCAGGGTCAGATGGAGGGAAGGAAGAAGGAGAGATGATGGATGAGAGTAACCATACTGTTGATAGTTCCATTATGGAGATTCCAAATCCAAATCCACCTCTAACTCCAATTATAATTGATATTTCATCTGACGATGAGGAAGATGAAGAGTTTGTCCAAGTAGAGCAAGAACTAGAGTCACCTGGACCAATGGAGGAAGAAGATGACCCTGAATTCGATCCTGAAAGCTACAAACAATCTATCGACAAGAAAGATGATGTTCAAAAGGACTAGATTTTTGTAGTTTCTTTTCTCTTATGATTCTTAGATTTGTTTTCGCATTTTAATTATTCCAGTTTCAGTGAAGCAATAAGTGCCATGTCCACAGCGAGTCAGTAAACTTATGTAGTTGCATAAGCTATTTAAACTCATTTTATTTCAGTATTGTATTCATTTTCTTACTCAGCAATAAAATTTCATTTATTTCCTTGTTAATTAATTCATTTTATTAACAAATCATTCATTTCGTATCACTACTCCAAGAAGTCATTTCTTATTCACAAATATTCCAATAATACATTTCTAAACTCTGGGAGTCCATGGGAATTATTTTTATTTATTAATGTGATGCTTTATTAAATGTGTGGTTGGTTAGCAATCAATATTTTGTTGACAAAGGTGCAAATTTTTAGAATTTCAACTTTTGTAATCCCAATTTGTTAGCTTAAATAATGTGTATGCTTCAAAGGTATTAACTAGTTAGATGGGTGTCTAACTTGAGAGCTAGCCAAGACTGTAATTTTTAAAGACCCCTTTTGTTTTAATTTAGGCGAAGAAAGATGGCGGGAAGGAGTGGTAAGAACGACGATGGAGGGGAGCTGAGTGAAGTTGTGAGGCAATTGGCGGTTGTTGCACAACAATTAGCAAGGAACTGAACCAATATTGTAGATGCTCAGGGAGAGCTATTTAAGAAGGTGGCGCAGAGCAAGCCACCAACCTATCAAGGAGAGCCTGATCCAACTATACTGGAAAACTGGTTGAAGGAGTTTGAAAAACTGTTCGGGGCAATAGGGTCTCCAGAGAACTCAAAAGTAGGTTGTGCTACCTATTACCTCATGGGTGAAGCTGACCTTTAGTGGAAGCAAAATGAAGCTACCATTAAGGCATTACTTGGATTTAATAAGACTATGTTTTAGGAGAAGGTTAGGGACAAGTTTTACCCTAGCTTCTTACAGAAACAAAAAGCTGAGGAATTTTCTAACCTTGCAATGGGGAATATGTCGGTCATTGAATACTACACCAAGTTTATTGAGATGTCTAGGTTCACTACAGAGTCTGTATCTACAGAAAAGTCTAAGGCTAGGAAGTTTGAGAGTGGACTGACTACTGATTTGCAGTTAAAGCTGTGTGGGCAAGTATTTGAAACCTTGGATGAAGTGTATGGGAGAGCTGCAAACCTATATGCCTTAGAATTAAAGAAAAGGAAAGAGATAGCTGAGATGGAAGTAAAGGAAAAAAGATAAGAGAAAAGAGGTGGGACAGAACTCTGGAAACCCGCAAGGTAACCAGAACAACTTCAAGAAATAGAAGTACCACCATAATAACAAGAAATTCCACAACAACAATAATTTCCAAGGCAACAGTCGTAACGGAGGGAGAAACTTTAATGGTGGAGCTAAGAACTCTACCCAGGGAAATAACAGGGGAGTAAGGCATTTCTACTGCAAGAGGTGTAAGAACGATCTCCCTGGTAAAGATTGTGATGGAAATTTGGTTACCTGTCGTGCTTGCAACAAGTTAGGACACAGGGAGTATGAATGTTTCTCCAAGGATCCCAATCGAAACAAACAAGGCAATAATCAAGGAGGGGCTCAGAGAAATTTTCAGGGAAGCAACAACTATTCAGGAAACAAGGGGGCACAGAAGAATGGAGTGAAAGGCAACAACAACAATAATGGAGGAAATCAGGTGAAGAGTGGAGCTCCAAGGAAATTGAATGTGATGAGTAGGCATGAGGTTGATTCCACAAAAGATGTCATCACTGGTATCTTTTCTATTAACTCTATTCCTGTTAAAGTCTTGTTTGATTCTGGTGCAACTTTTTCTTTCATTTCAAAGGCCATTGTTTCAAAACTATCAAACTATTTGAAAACCGTAAATGAGGTAGATTTGCCTATAGTTATTCCTACGGGTGGGGTAGTAAAGTGTAACAAGACCTTTAAGATGTACCTTTAGAAATCGAAGGAAAAGTGTTTTTGTTAGATCTCATTGAGTTTGGGTTGAGAGACTTTAATGTCATTTTGGGAATGGATTGGTTGAGCAAGTACAACGCAGATATTAGTTGTCGATCACAGAAAGTAAAAATGCGTACAGCTGATACTGAGTTGGTGACATATTGGATGCATGGTAAAACCAAGTGCCCAAGGATCATATCTATGTTAAAATTGGCAAAGTATATCAAGAAGAGGCATCCAGTGTATTTTTGTAGTGTGAGGAATATGGAACATGAAGAGAAAAATAAGCCTGAAGATATAGAAGTAGTAAATGAGTTTCTGGATGTGTTTCTAGAAGAGATTCCTGGATGCCACCCAAAAGAGCAATTGATTTCACAATAGTACTAGTTCCATGAACAACACCAATTTCCAAGGCACCATATCGAATGGCACCTGCAGAGATGAGTGATTTAAAGGAACAATTTCAAGATTTATTAGAAAAGGGATACATAAGACCAAGTACATCTCCTTGGGGAGCGCTAGTGTTATTTGTGAAAAAGAAAGATGGAAGTATGAGGTTATGTATTGACTATAGGGAGTTAAATAAGGTCATCATAAAGAACAAGTACCTATTACCAAGGATTGATGACCTATTTAACCAGTTGAGAGGCGCAACTGTGTTTTCTAAGATTGAATTAAGGTCTGGTTACCATCAACTTAGGATTGCAGATGAAGATATTCCCAAGACTACATTTAGAACAAGGTATGGACATTATGAGTTCATAGTAATGCCATTTGGATTGATGAATGCTCTAGCAATCTTTATGGACTTGATGAATAGGGTGTTTCATCCATTTATGGACAAGTTTGTGGTAGTGTTCATAGATGATATACTGGCGTATTCAAAGAGTAAAGAAGAACATGTAGAACATCTAAGGGCAATTCTGCAAACACTAAGGGAAAACAAGCTTTACGCAAAGTTCTCTAAGTGTGAGTTTTGGTTAGAGAAAGTGGCAATTTTTAGGTCATTTTGTGTCCAAAGATGGAGTAAAAGTAGATCCAGCAAAGATTGAGGCAGTGAAAGGTTGGCCTACGCCAAAAATAGTGTTTGACGTTAGGATTTTCTTAGGTTTAGCAGGGTATTATAGGCGTTTTGTGAAAGATTTCTCGAAGATTGCTAAACCTATGACCTCTCTAATGAATAAGGATAAGAAGTTTGAGTGGGATGACAAGTGTGAGGAAGCATTCCAACTCTTGAAACAAAAGCTAATCACAGCGCCAGTGCTTACACTGCCAGATGATAGTGGAATTTATGATGTATATAGTGACACATCTAAGAATGGTCTAGGATGTGTACTTATGTAAAATGGGAAGGTGATTGCGTATGCATCAAGGCAATTAAAGACTCATGAAGTAAATTACCCTACTCATGATTTAGAACTAGCTGCAATCATTTTTGCGCTAAAGGTTTGGAGACACTACTTGTATGGAGTGAAATGTAGGATTTATACAGACCATAAAAGTTTGAAATACATTTTCACTCAAAGGGATTTAAACTCACGCCAAAGGAGATGGTTAGAATATACAACGGATTATGACTTAGACATACAATATCATGAGGGGAAAGCAAATGTAGTCGCAGATGCTCTAAGTCGTAAGACCAGTCATGGACTGAACACTTTGATAGTGGCTGATAAGTTATGTAGAGAAATGAGGAAAATGAATCTAAAAGTGGTAGAATGGGGAGTGCCAGCAGGCATACTTGCGAACCTAAGTATTCAACCAACAATATTTGATGAGATAAGGGAAAATCAAGCAGGAGATGTAAAGTTGGATAGGATTCGTGAGAAAATAAAGCAAGGAAAAACTACGGATTTCAAAATTCATGAAGATGGGAGTTTAAGGTACAAGGGTCGTTAGTGTGTACCACAAAAATGTGAGGAAGTAAAGAGAAAGTTGGTGGAAGAAGGCCACAACACACCGTATTCAGTACACCCAGGAGGGGACAAGCTATATAAAGACCTGAAAAAGATATATTGGTGGCCCAGAATGAAGAATGGGGTTTCGGAATTTGTGGCAAAATGTCTAACTAGTCAAAAAGTGAAGATAGAACACAAAAGACCGCAAGGAACTGTGCAATCATTGGAAATTCCTGGATGGAAATGAGATTGTATTTCAATGGACTTTGTGACTTGCCTCCCAAAGTCAAAGGGTGGAAATGACACCATTTTGGTAGTGGTGGATAGACTTACAAAATCTGCAGTGTTTATACCAATGAAGGAGACCTGGAAGATTGAATAACTTGCTTAAAGCTTACATAAAAAATGTGGTGACGTTACATGGAGTTCCAAAAGATATTGTGTCTGACAGAGACTCTAGGTTTCTTTCAAGGTTCTGGAAGAGTGTGCAGGAAAACTTTGGTACAACACTTAAGATGAGTACAACATTTCACCCTACCACAGATGGGCAAACTGAGAGAACCATTCAAACCTTGGAAGACATGTTGAGGGCTTATGTTATAGAGTTCCAAGGGGGATGAGAAGATAGCTTGGAATTAATTGAATTTTCCTATAATAACAACTAACATGCAAGCATTGGCATGGCTCCATTTGAGGCATTCTATGGAAGCAAGTGTCGTAGTCTGATCTGTTGGAACGACATAAGTGAAACAATGATTTTAAGGCCTCAAATGATTGAGGATACAGTTAAGAAGGTAAGGGAGATTCAAGCTAAGATTCATGCGGCGCAAGATAGCAAAAAAAGCTACGCGGACTTGAAGCGTAGAGAGGAGGAATTTGAGGTCGGTGACAAAGTATTGTTAAGGTGTCACCAATGAAAGGTGTAATGAGATTTGGAAAGAAAGAAAAGCTTAGCCCAAAGTATATTGGTCCATATGAATTATTACAAAGGATAGGCAAAGTAGCTTATAGGGTGGCCTTACCTATGGAACTAAGTAAAGTGCATGATGTATTTCATGTATCTCAGTTAAGAAGGTATATCCCTGATAATTCACATGTGCTACAACCTGAAACCACTGAGTTAGATCAAAGCTTAACTTATGAGGAAAGACTTGTCAAGCTCCTTGACAGTAAAGTGCGTAGTAAACGCAATAAGGAAGTTAAGATTGTTAAAGTGCTATGGTCTAACCAAGAGTATGAAGAAGCAACTTGAGAAGCTGAGGATGAGATAAGAAAGAAATATCCTGAGTTGTTCAAGGTATGGTGAGTTACGGGGACATAACTCGTTTTCTTTAGGGGGGTAGAATGCGGTAGAATTTCGCACTTTTTCCCTGTATTTTCAGTTATTTTTATGCTTTTTGCAAATTATTAACGGTTATTTCGAATAATTTTGAATTCAAAGAGACATTAAAGGAAAAAGTACGACAAAGAGTACAACAATATTATCCAAAGTGAGGAAAAAAGTTTGAATTTTGTTACCTAAGTTTCGGAACAAAACTTCTTTTAAGGGGGGGTAGACTGTAATACCCCGTATTTTTATACGTATTTTAATTTAAATAAATATTTCTTAAAGTATTTAAATAATTCGAAATGAATTATTTACGGTGTTTCATTTATTTAAAAAGAATTATTTTAATTAAAAGTTTATTTTAAGTAATCTTGAAAATATTTTATTTCATGATTTGGAAATATTGGGGCATATTATTTTATAAAAGGAAATTTTAAAGTCGATGTGTTTTTAAAGAAAGTCAAAATACTAGTTTAACTAGGAAAAGGATCATTAAGGGTAAAAAGGGAACTTAAGTTTAGGAGGGTTTTAGAAAAGAGAGTATAAATACTCATCACATGGGCAAATTAAACTTTGCCCAAAGTGGAGAATACCCAAAGGTAACTCTATTTCTCTCTCCTCTTATTTTTCCCTTTTTCTCTTAATTTTTCCCTTTCCTCTTTTATTTTAATTTTAATGTTTTTCACACACCACCACCACACACACCTCACGGTAGCCGGCTTCCATCACCACCACAGCCGGCTGCCGCCGCCAGCACAGGGCCGGTAGCAGCAGCAGCCGTGGGAGGTGGCGCTAGCCACCCCCCCCCTTTCTTCCCCTTGTGCGCGCGTGTGTTTGTATAAAAAAAATAAAAAAATAAAAAAAATCTTCTTTTGAGTTTTAATTCAATCCACCTTTAATCTAATTATTGTTTTTGGATTTTGTGATGATTTTTATGATGTTTGATAATAAGTATTTTGTATATAAATTTTCAGATTTGGTTTTGAATTAAAAAGCCCCAAATTATAAACCCTAGGTTTCTAAGTTTATGTATATTGATGGAAATTGTTTAAGGGTGATTTAAATTATTGAAATAGGTGTTTTAAAACACAATTACAACAATTTTAGATTATTTAATAAAGCTGGAATTTTTATATATAAGCTATAATTATGTTTCTTGAAAGGATTTTTAATTACCCATTAATTGGGAATAAAAGTAAGGGTTCTAAATTAAATTTCAGCTTATTTTAGAGGGTGTATGAGTGATTTAAAGAGTGTATATATTGCTGGAAATTTGTGTGGAATAGGTATTAATGCCTCTTTGTAATTTTGGTTTGTAGGAGACTTCCAAGTGAGTGATTTTATTTAGTCGTGGCGATTTTGAGATCATATTCAAGGTACGTTCGCGTACTTAGTAATTATTTGAATATGTAGAAGCATGCTAGGCTTTGTTTAATTAATTCCAAATAGTATCATGATAGGTGTTGGTTGGAATTTGTTGATTGATTTGATGTTGGTAAATTATTTGTGGTGTGTGAATTATTTATGATGAATTGGTGATTGGAATTAATTATGTTGGCATGTTGATTATGAACCATACTTTTATTGTTGGTGTTTCGGGGTTTTCTGATGTCCTGCGGGAGAGTTACAATTTCGAGACTGGAACCGGACGCCTGTACCTGCAAAATAACGGAGACTCCTGGGAGCTCCGCCTCCAACGGTCAAGTTAGTACTTGATTAAGGAGTAATTAATGCGGAAATTAAAGTGAGTGGGTCTCTCTAGGTGAGAGTGTTTAA